GTAAAAATGAACTAAATGGTACAATTAAAAGCCAGACAGTTTTACAATGGATAAAGAAGCAAGATCTGAAAGTGTGCCTGTCATGCTGAGAAACCCAAAATGGGATGACCTGTCAATACGCACTCCATAGGTCTACACCATGACACTGACAATGGTAAAACTGTCAGGAGAGCAGATAAGCTGTCCTTTCCAGTTTATTCAGAGGACCCTGATCCCTTTGACTCTGGAAATCTTTTTCACTTCAGAATCACCTATTTCCTGCATTTCTTTTAGCCCTGAAAGGAGCCCAGGCCACTAAGAATTGAAGGCTGAACTCTCAGCAGCCAGACTCTAGAGAAGCTGTGATTTTCTCTGTCTTTCCTGAGAGTCTCTCTCGGCTGCCTGAATGTAGTCTATAGGTTCTAAGTCAGCAGTATGGATGTTACATGACAAATATCTTTCCAAAATCTCTTGAGTCTTCAGTTACCTGGGTTTCTTCATTGTGTCTCCTTTCCACTTTTGTGTATGTGTCATTTCATACCCCTTACCCTTTTCAACATACCAGGAGATGGTTAAAGCAAATAAATGTTTAAAGCATTAATAGCAACAATGTATTGGGTGTTTACTGCACATGTAAAAGTGAAATGTATGACAACAATGGAGCAAGGACTAGGAATCAAGGCCATACCGTTATAATCTTTCACCACACATGAAGCAATCTATTATTTGAAGATAGATTCAGATTTTTCAAAATGTATGTTGTAAACTCTATGGCAATGACTAAAAAGATTTTTCAAAGAGGTATAAATAATAAGCGAATAAAGGAGATAAAATGAATTTTATTTTTAAAAGTGCTCAATAAAACTAGAGAAGGCAGAAAAAGGTAAAAAATAAACATAGAAGAAATGAAAATAGAAAACAGCTAACAAGACAGTATATTTTAATCCAACTACACAAACAATAACTTTAAAGGTGAATGGTTTAAGAATAACAGTTAGGAATTGACAGGGGCCGGCCCGGTGGCACAGCGCTTAAGTGTGCACGCTCTGCTTCGGCGGCCAGGGCTTTGCAGGTTCGGATCCCGGGCGCACACTGACGTACCGCTTGTCAAGCCAAGCTGTGGTGGCGTCCCATATAAAGTAGAGGAAGATGGGCACAGATGTTAGCCCAGGGCCAATTTTCCACGGCAAAAAGAGGAGGATTGGCATTGGATAGTTGAGGGCTGATCTTGTTCACCAAAAAAAAAAAAAAAAGAATTGACAAGACTGGATAAAAAAAGCAAGACCCAACTACATGAGGTTGTACTAGTCAGGGCTCTCCAGAGAAACAGAACCAACAGAAGGATCATTGACCACTGGCTCACGTGATCACGGGAGACCAAGAAGTTCCACAATCTGCTGTCTGCAAACTGGAGAACCAGGAAAGCTGGTGGTGGAATTCAGTCCAAGTCCAAAGGCCTGAGAACCAGGGAAGCTAATGGTGTAAGTCCCAGTTCAAGTCTGAAGGCCCAAGAACCAGGAGCACCAATGTCCAAGGGCAAGAGATGATGGATGTCCCAGCTCAAGCAAAGAACAAATTTGCCTTTTTTTCTATTCAAGTTCTCAACTAATTGGACCCACATTAGTGAAACTTACCTTTTCCTCAGTCTACTGATTCAAACGTTAATCTCTTCCGAGAACATTCTCACAGACACATCTAGAAATAATGTTTTACCAGCTATCTGAGCATCCCTTAGTCAAGTTGACACATAAAATTAACCATTATAGAGGTCTAAAAGAAACCTATTTTACTAATATGATAGAAGACTTCCAGTTTCAGCTCCAACATGTAAAGAATTTGGAAGTCATAAATCACATCCTTAAAAGAAAAAGATGAGAAAACTGAAAATCAATGTCTTTTCTTGGACCCATCAGAGAACTTAGGTTGCACAGCAAATTGCCACCCCAAATCTGGATAGACAAGCAAGTCCACAGGGTCAAAGCTGAGATCCATTTACCTGAAGCAAAATCCACTGGGGCCAGCCCCAGTGGCCTAGCGGCTAAGTTCGGTGCACTCCACTTCAGTGGCCCAGATTCGGTTCCCAGGCATGGACCTACACCACTCGTCTGTCAGTGGCCATGTTGTAGCCGTGGCTCACATACAAAAACAGAGGAAGATTGGCAGCAGGTGTTAGTTCAGGGTGAATCTTCCCCAGCAAAAAAAAAAAATCCACTGGAGCAATAAACTGGTAGGAATACTTAAATGTTAGTTTTGATGAATTGCTGCAGGTTGAGTGTAGGCTATCTCAAGAGTGAGAAACTTCTGGGAGCTGCAGTATGGGAGGGGCCACATATTCATGGGTTTTTACCTCTAGGACCCCACCAAATTCTCAGAGTAAAAAGTTGAGAAAGATCCCCTCATGGCTCTGGCAGGGAGAAGAAGAATAGAAATCACTGAAAAATGTGCCCAGAGTGTTTTCCATAACAGAAACCTAGTCTCCAGGGGAAAGAGCCTTATGTGGGGTCACACAGTGTGGGTAGCTTACAGCACCAATGCATGTATCCACCAACTTTGGGGGCGGGGGCAGTGCAAGCCTAGGTTGAAATCTGAGATGGTCAAGATCACCCGGAAAAAGTGTAGAATAAACAGTCATTGCCAAACCGTCTTCTGGGAAGTCTTAATTGCTGCTCCCAGAGCTAAAATTTCCGTGGTGAATAAAGCTTGAGAAGTGCTGCATAATAAATACCCCTCCTAATGATTCACATAACACATTAATATAGAAATTAGAATAGACTCAGAAATTAATATAGACTCAGAGAAATACGAAGCAAAATTGAAAACTATTACAAGTTTATTCTCAATCCCGTTTGTGCATCAGAAGAGTTTTAATAAAGATGATACCTGGGCCCCATCCCATACCTGAGATGAGGGGCCAATAGCAACACTCCAAAAAGAGGCAAAGAATTGCAAATAAGAAGGGTAGCGTAAGAGAACATATTTTTCTCAGTAGAATATGCAAGTTCTTTGCAATAATAAGTAGTAATGGAAACCAGAATGTTTCACCCCAAAATATGCCTCTTTGACACAAAAATTATTTTGAGCTGAAGGCAATTAAGAAGCAGCAAACCCAGAAAAAGCTCCCCCTTTTCTGCCTACAGGCAGGATATAAATTGTCCTTTTACTGGAGACAAACTCTTAGCCCAGAGACAGCAGCAGAGGAATCTGCAAACAAACATTATTCCATTAGTTTCCTCACATATGTTTACCCTCCCACAGCCTGCCACCCTTGGAAGCCTAAAACTGTCATTTCTCCACAAATTTATTGTTCTTTGTTGAAGATACTATGTAAGCCAGAAGTCTAAGCCACTTTGAGTTACGATTCATTTTAGGTTTCTCCTGTGTGATGTGCGCTGCATGTGTTAATAAACCATTGTTTTTCTCTTGTTAATCTTTTTGTGAGTCCCAGCTGAAAACCTAACATGGGTAGAGGTAAAGCTTCACCTCCCCTACAGTAGTACAAAGGGGGGCTCATGAAGGCTTGAGAAAAGAGGAAAAGGTTTGGAATCACTGCCACCAGAAATGTAAAAGAAAGTCACGGGATGAAAAAATAAGTTTGTTTACCAAGCAGCTCAAAGAGCCCTCTTGAAGTCAGAGACAGAGACTTTGTGGCAGAACCCATCAACCTGGTTCAACAGCCCAGAAGGAAGAGTGGAGGAAAGGTACTAACGAGTTTCCCAGAGGACTGGAAATTAACCAGGCAGGGATGGAGAAAGGCCTGATGGACAAGTGTATTAGTTTCCTGGGGCTGCCATAACAAAGTACCACAAACTGGGTGGCATAAAACAACAGAAATTTATTGTCTCTCAGTTCTGGAGGCTAGAAGTCCAAATTCAAGGTGTTGACAGGGCCATGTCCCCTCAGAAGCTTCTAAGGGAGGATTCTTCCTTGCCTTTTCCAGCCTCTAGTGGCCCCAGGCATTCTTTGGCTTACAGCAGCATAAACCCAGTCTCTCCCATAGCCATCTTCCCTGTGTCTTCACAGGGTATTTCTGTGTGTGTGCACGCGCGTGCGCATGCACAAATTTCTCCTAATTATAAAGGATACCCGTCACGTTGAATTAGGGGCCGACCCTAATGGCCTCATCTTAATTTCCAAATAAGGTCATATTCACAGGCAGGACTTCAACATATCTTTTTAAAGGACACAATTCAACTCATAACAGCAAGTATCTTGGAGAGTTAATGAGAACTCAGCAGAAATCACTGAATCAGGGGGTTGCTCAGGCTGAAATAGGAAGACAAGCCAGGATGGGTTGAGACATAGGATGGGGAGGAGGGCTTAGGGAGGGTGCTGGAAGTTTTGTAAGACTTGTTAGATCACTACCAGAAAGTCTATTGACAGTCTGGGAAGAAACATATTAAAAGTGGTGGGATTATTGATAACTTTAATTTTCTTTACACTTTTTGTATGTTCCAAATTTTCTACAATAAGTACATCATGACTTTTATAACCAGAGAGAAACAACCTTTTTTTTTTTTTTTGGTGAGGAAGACTGGCCCTGAGGCTAACATCTGTTGCCAACCTTCCTCTTTGCCTGAGGAAGATTGTCACCGAGCTAACATTTGTGCCAATCTTCCTCTTTTCTTTTCGTACGTGGGACACCACCATAGCATGGCTTGATGAGTGGTGTGTAGGTCCACGCCCAGGATCTGAACCCGCGAACCCTGGGCTGCCGAAGCAGAACACGCAAACTTAACCACTACACCACCGGGCCAGGCCCAACAATCGTTATTTTTAAAATAACTATCCAGTAACTGCTGCAATCCTCTGAATGCATACGATCTAGAGCAGAAAGTAAGGAAAACACACATACAGGATAAAAACGGAACAAAATAAAAACCTGAAACAAAGATGAAGCTGATCTACAGTCCCTGGACTTGTGGGATCAATCCCACAAACTGATCCCACAATTTGTAAGAAATGAATGTAGAGTAGAAAAGAGTGTAGGCTTTCATCTCAGATAGATCTGGATTTAGTCCCAACACTCCCATTTGCCAGCTGAGCAATACTGAGCAAGTTACTCTCAAGGTTTGTTTTCTCACTTGAAAAAATAGGATTTTAATTTCCATCTCAGCAAGCTGTTGCCAAGAATCATGAGAGCATTATGTGAAAAGGGTAGCACTGTGTAAATACTAAAGTGTTTCCCAACATGTTCGGTATGACGTTAATTACCTTGTATATACAGTATATGAATTTGACAGATGGATAGCATAATGAACACTGGAGGGCAGAGACCTGGTCAGTGAAGAAGAGTAACAGCACAGGCAGAGTAAGGGAAGATTTCCTCAATTTTCTGATCCAGAAAAGTGAGGGATATCAGAAGTTACTGGAAAGAGGAGGAATTACATGACTAAATAGAAAGGGATTCTATAAACCTATCAAATTTCAGAAAAAGTGACATAAGCCTATAGGGTAGGATGCCGATGCTATGTGCCCACAGCACCAGTCAGGATACTTCAGACTGCAAGTGACCAAAATGCAACTAAAACTGCCTTATACAATAAGGGAGCAATAATCTCATATAATAAGAAATTTGGGATTAGGAAAATTCCAGCAGTTGAACGATGCCAACAAAGACCATATTTCTTCTTCCTTTCCCCTATTACTGTGCTCTCCTCGATTCCAATACAGCCGCTAACATCAGAGACGCTGTGTCTTCCCAAATAACTCTCTAAAAGCTACAAAAACTTTCCCCAGAAGCACCCTGGAAAACTCCTCATCCTATCTAGTCAGCCAGAATTACCGTGCATGGGACTGCCTCTCCTGAAGCATGTGGAGGGCGCATACCAAACAGTTCAATTAGGAAGACCCAGAAGAGAAGGAGAGAAGTGCGCCAAGTGGCCACTGGAAAGGCAACCAACAGGGTCTGCGGTATCTGTCTATGCACAGGACATCCAGGGAGCTCAACGAAACACGAACTTGGAATCTGAATGGACAGTACTGATGTACTATCCAGGATCAATATGTATGAAGTGAGAGAAGAGGGTCAAGGGATGTATGTCCCTGGGCTGGGGTAATAGGGAGATGTATGTCTTGGGCAGGGGAAGAACAGCCTCATTTCCCACCAGTCACTGGTGGGATAACTAAAGATGCTAATGGACTCAACCAAAAAAATGGCCGGAGACGCGAGATGAAAGAACAAGAAAAAGTGTGTAGGTGCACTCCATCCACAGCACTGTAGAATGAGATATCCCCAGCCCCATGATCTAGGAAAACTCCCACCCGGTGAAGAGCTGGCTCTTGCTTCGTAGGACTTACAGGGAAGCTTGTTAGGGGCCGATAGCCAGCAGAACTCCAAGAAATAGCCCAGATCCCCACATGCGGGGACATTTTTGAACTATCAACAATCCCCATGATGTCCTCCCGACATACCCCCACAGCAATCTCCAGGCTATCTCGGTTCTCAACTTCCCAGTAATGTTTCCCTGAAGTGAAAACGTTTTTTCCCAAAACACAGGGTAAGTGCTGAAATCTCTCCACAAACTGTGAGGTCTTCTGAGGATTCCTCCATCCAGCCAAGTAGCTCCATGCTGTAGAAAATAATGGCCAAGAACTGGCTGACGCTCCATTTTTCACATATCTCCCTTCCTGGGAGAAGACAAGTTTCGGGTGAGCTGTGTCTTCAGCCAGATTTATAGTCACTGCAGAGAAATGAGAGCTGAGATAAATAAGGCAACAGCTTACCACCAACCCGCCTCCAGGAATGCCCATCTGTTCCAGCTTCAGCTCCACTCTTCCCCTCCTAACAAGTACTGTTAGGAATGAGACTCCTCATTGACTCTCAAGTGATCCTCAGCTGGGCCTAGCAGGCCACAGCCTTTAGCAACCTGAAATCTTCATTTCCTTTCTACTATTAAAGACTAAGACCTATAAAACGGGGAGCTCATTATTTCACGGCTCCAAGTCTTCACAATCAGCATAAAATTTGGAGAAACGTTAACAAATTCTGACTTGTTGAATCAGGACCAGATCACCGCCGTTGACTGGCTGGTTCTTTGTACAGGTACACACGGATGTCATGACTGACAAGGTTTCTGTTCACTGGGCATCTCCACAAGCCCCCATAGATAACTCAAAATGGAACTCCTTAACCTAAGTCTCCTTCCACCTTCTTGGGACTAACCCCCCCTTACATGCAGACATCTTGTCTTCTCTGTTCTCTAAGGTGTAAGAGCATTACCTCCATTCAAACACTCACAATTTTAAATCTTGAGATTATTTGACTCTTCTTTCCCTCTGGCCCTCAATGGCTGATTAGTCACCAAGTCCTATCAATTCTACCTCTGAAATACCACTCAGGGTCTTTTCCTCCTCTCCATTCCCACTGCCACAGTCTTCACTCAGACCTTCAGCATCTCTCACCTTAACTGTGTCTATAACCTCCTCCCTGCCTTCAAATTCTCTTCCCTCTCAGACTCTCCATGTCTCTCTAGTTGTTTAGTTTTTTTAAAAATCAGGAATGGATGTTAGGTTTTGACAAATGCTTTTTCTGCATCTACTGATCATATAGTTTTCCTTTTTTAGTTTGCTAATGTGATGAATTACATTGATTTTTCAAATGTTAAACCAACCCTGCTTTTCTGAGACAAATCCTATTTGGTTGTGATGTATTATCCTTTTAATACATTGTTAGATTCAATTTGCTAAAATTTTCTTTAGAATTCTATGCTCATGAGAGCCATTGATCTATAGTTTTTTTCTCTTGTAATGTCTTTGTCTGATTTGGCTATCACGGTAACACAGGCCTCATAGAATGAATTGGGAAATATTCTCTCCTCTTCATTTTTTTGTGAGAGTTCACATAGAATAGATATTTCTTAAATGTTTGGTGAATTCACCAGTGAAACCATTTGGGAAGGTTTTTAACTACACCACCAATTTCTTTAATAGAAATAGGGTTATTCCAGTTATCTATTTTTTCTTGAGTAAGCTTTGGTCATTTGTGTCTTTTAAGGACTTTGTTCATTTCATCTATATTGTCAAATTTATCAGCATAAAGTTGCTCAGAATATTCCCTCATTATTATTATTATTAATTTTTTTTTTGCTGGGAAACATTCGCCTTAAACTAACATCTATTGCCAACCTTCCTCTCTTTCTTTTCCCCTCCCCAAAGCCCCAGTACATAGTTGTATTTTCTAGTTGTAAGTCCTTCTAGTTCTTCTATGTGAGCTGTCACCACAGCATGGCTACTGACAGACAGTTGGTGTGGTTCCACAACCGGGAAACGAACTCAGGCCGCTGACGTGGTCAGAGCGCTGAACTTCACCACTAGGCCATCAGGGCTAGCTCTTCCCTTATTACCTTTTTAATATCTGTAGAATCTGTGGTGATGTTGCCTCTCTCATTCTTGATATTAGTAATGGGTGTCTTCTCTTTTTTCTCTAATCATTCTGGTTAAAGGTATATCAATAAAATTGATATTCTCAAAGAATCAGCTTTTGGTTTCATTGATTTTTCTGGTTTTTTTCTGTATCCTGTTGCAATGATTTCTGCTCTGATTTTTATTATTTCCATTCTTCTGTTTACTTTGGGCTTTATCTGGGGCTCTTCTTTTTCTAGTGTCTTAAGGTGGAAACTAAAGTCACCAAATTGAGAACTTTCTTCTTTCCTAATATAGGTGGTTAGTGCTATAAATTTCCCCTTAAGTATTGCTTTAGCTGCATCCCACAAATTCTGATATGTTGTTTCCCTTTTCATTCAGTTCAAAGTATTTTCTAATTTCCCTTTTGATTTCTCCCTTAATTCATGGATTTTTCAGAAGTGTCAACACTTGGGGATTTTCCAGGGATATTTTTTTTATTGATTTCTAACTTAAATGCATTATGGTCAGAGAACATACTTTGTATGATAAGAATCCTTTTGAATTTACTGAGATTTGTTTCATGGCCTACACTGGTCTATTTAGGAAAGCATTCCAGGTACACTTAAAAAGAATGTGTATTCTGCTGTTGTTGGCTGTTCAATAAATATCAGTGAGGTCAAGTTGGTTGCTAGTGTTATTCAAGTCTACTAATCCTTTCTGATTTTCTACCTACTTGTTCCAAAAATTATTGAAAACTGCAGCTATAACTGTGGATTTTTCTATTTCTCCTTGCAGCTCTATGAGTTTTTGCTTACTGTATTTTGAATCTCTATCATTAGGTGTATAATTGTTTAGAACTGTTATATCTTCCTGATGAATTGATCCCTTTACCATTAGGAAATGACCTTCTTTATGTCTGGTAATATTCTTTGCTCTGAAATCTCCTTTGATATTAATATACCCACTCCAGATTTCTTTTGACTAATGTTAGCATGGTATATCTTTTTCCATTGTTTTAACATATACAGTTCTTTATATTTAATGTGTTTCTTGCAGCATACAGTTGGGTCTTGCTTTTTTATCCAATCCAACCAATCTCTGCCTTTTGATTATGGTATTTAGACCATTTATATTTAATATGATTATTAATATGATGAGATTTGTGTCTATCATCTTGCTATTTGTTTTCTCTTCGTCCTATTTGTTCTTTTTTCCTTTTTCTGCCTTATTCCTGATTAAGTATTTTTTTATGATTCCACTTTATCTCCTTTGTTGGCTTATTAACTATAACTCTGTTTTATTTTAGTGGTTGCTGTAAGGTTTACAGTATACACCTTTAACTTATCACAGTCTCCCTTCAAGTGATATTATACCACTTCACATATAAGAACCATATAATAGTATACTTCCATTCTCCTCTCCCAACCTTCATGCTGTTGTTGTTGTGCATTTCACATGTAAACATGTTACAAACTCCACAATGTGATTTTTTGTCTGTCTGTTTAAACAGTCAATTACTATATTAGTTAGCACTTGCCAGAGAAACAGAACAAACAGGACATGTATATAGAAAGAGATTATAAGGAATTGGCTCATGTGATTATGGTTACTGGCAAGTCCAATCTGCTTTTTGGGATGGTAGGCTCGAGACCCAGGGACAGCCAATGTTCCAGTTTGAAGGCCTTCAGGCAGGAAAAGCCAACGTTACAGATGAAGTCCAAAGGCAATCTGCTGTTGAATTTCCTCTTGCTCAGGAGAAAGGTCAGCCTTTTGGTCTATTCAGGCATTCAACTGACTGGATGAGGCTCACCCACATTATGGAGGGCAATGTGCTTTACTCAAGTCTCCTGATTTAAATGTTAATCTCACCCAAAAACACCCTCAGAGAAATACCCAGAATAATGTTTGACCAAATATCTGGGTACCCCATGGCCCAGTCAAGTTAACATACAAATTAACCACCACGATTACCTTTTAAAGAGATTTAAATAACAACAAATATATATATATTTATTCACATCATTACCATTTTGGGTGATCTTTTATTCCGTTGCATAGATCCAGACTTCCACTGGTATCATTTTCCTTCTGCCTGAAGGACTTCCTTTAGCATTTCTTGCAATGTTGGTCTGCTGGTGGTAAACGCTTTCAGTTTTCGTATATCTGCAAACATCTTTATTTCACTTTTGTTTTTGAAGGGTATTTTTGCCACAATTCTGGTTTAACAGTTTTTAATTTCAGTAAAGACTTTGCTCACTTGCAATGAGCAACTACCAATGAGAAGCGTGGTGTCATTTTTATCTTTGTTCCACTGTAAGTGACATGTCCTTTTTCTCTTATTGCATGTAAGATTTTCTATCGCTGGTTTTGAGCAAGTTGATTATGATATGCCTTGGTGTAGTTTTCTTCATAGTTCTTGTGCTTGTGGTTTGTTTAGCTTCTTAGATCTGTGCACTTACAGTTTTCACCAAATTTGGAAAATGTGTAGCCATTATTTCTGCAAATTTTTTTTTGTCTAATCTCCATCCTCACTCCTCTCCTTTAGGGACCCCCATTACCATATATAAGGCTGCATGAAGTTGTCCCACAGCTCACTCTTCATTTTTTAAGTTCTTTTTTCATCTGCGTTTCATTTTGCATAGTTTCCACTGCTCTGTCTTCAAGTTCACTAATCTTCTGTTCTGCAATGTCTAATCAACTTAATCCCAACCAGTGTATTCTCCATCTCAGTCATCACTCAGTAGTTTTCATCTCTAAAAGTTTGATCTAGGTCTTTTTTATATCTTCCATGTCTCTATATGCCTCTTTACAGAATACAATTATAATAATTCTGTGAATGTCCTTCTATGCTTATTCTAACATCTAGATCAATTCTGGGTCAATTTCAATTGATTATTCTCCTCACTATGGGTCATGTTTTCGCATGCCTTTACGCATGCCTGTTAATCTTTGATCAGATGCCAGACATTATGAATTGATATTGTTGGGTACTCAAACTTTTTTTTTTTATTCCCATCAATCTTCTTGAGCTTTGTCCTGGGATGTAGTCAAGTTGCAAACTTGCAAGTAATTCAATCCTTTTGGGTCTTGCTTTCATGATTTGTAAGGTGGGTCCAAAGTAGTGCTCAGTATAGAGTTAACTATTCCCCCACTAATGAGGCAAGATTTTCCTGAGTACTCTACCCAGTGCTTCAAGAATTAAGAGCTTTCCAGTCTGGCTGATAGAACAGGCACTGTTCCTAGGCCTGTGAGAGCACCAGGAACTGTTCCTTCTAATCATTTTAGAAACTTCCTTCCTCACCCTCAGATAGTTCTTCACAACTACGTACTGATCAGTACTGTGCTGAATATTTAGTAGGTGCCTCTGTAGATTGTCAGGGTACTTTCTGTACAGCTCTCTCCTCTCAATGCTCTGTGAACTCTCACTGCTTTGTTCTTCCTGGACTTTCAGCTCTATTCCTCAACTCAGGGAGTCCACCTGGCTCCATCTCTGTTATCCCTCCCTGAGATGGCCTGGAAACTGTCACAAGGCACTAGGCTGGAGCAACCACAGAGCTCACCTCATTTGTTTCACATTTTTCAGAGATCATTGTCCTTCATTGCCTGATGTTCAGAATTTTGAAAACTGTTCTTTCACGTATTGTGTCTGCTTTTGAAGTTAAGTTTCAGGCAGAAGAGTAAATCCAGTCCCTGTTACTTCATTTTAGCTGGAAGTGGACACCCATAATATGGTTCTTAATCAGGGATGTGCACATGAGAATTGCCTGCATAGCTTTTACAACATGTACATGCCTTGGTACTTCCCTGGAGATCCAGTAAGTTTATCTTCAGTCTTTCCTACTCTCATCGTTTCAACCTCAGCCCCTGCCATTCCCCACAATGTACCTTAAGGTTTAGTCACATCAGCTACCCTCCCTTTGTTTTCTCCACACCTTAGCTCATGCTGCTGACTCTGCTTGAAGGAGTATATCCCCATTTTCCACTTGGCAAACTCCTACTCATCCCTCAAATCCTAGAACTGTCAGCTCTGCTGTGAAAACTTCCCCACCTCATCCCCAAGGAAGCTCTTCCTCTGTACTTCTGTAAGACTTTACTCATACCACTATATTACAGTGAGTGACATGTGTCTGTCTCTCTAACTTGCTTATGAATTCTTAGAAAGAAGACAACAGGTTTTTTTCTTTTTGTATCACTAGTACCTTCTAATACACAGTATGTGTTAAATAAATGTTTCTTGAATGAAGCATATATCCATTTATTCCTAAGTAGTTATTACCATTTTTCCTGACACTTCTGTTAGCTGCATGCTCTGTTTTCTCTTTCCTTTCCAGACTTTTCTAATTATTTATTCTCTTATTTGAAAGATTTCTAGGGAGCTCCATATCCTAGAAATTTTGCTCACCTTGGAATCGCTTCAGCATTTCCTTCATCATTGGTATCTGGCACACAGTCTTCACCTTCAGAACTTCAAGGGAATAGTTCACATCCTGGTTCTCGCTCCTAAGAAAAGTACAGAAGGCTGCTCTTCTTAGGAGACATCTAGGGCAGCCAAGACCCCCAACTCCTACCTGAAGCTTCCAAACCCAAAGCTCAGATCACTTCTCTCCCACTCCTCCTCCCAAAACTGAACAATAGCTTCCTCCTCCACAGACCCCTCAAGGTGTGCCCAGATTGATCTATGGAGCCCAGGCTTTGTTTCACCACTGCTCAGCCTATATCTTTACCATTCCACTCAGGCCCCCAAAAGAAAGCAGGAGCTCATACCTGGTCAACACATCTTTTGGATTCTGTGAAAAAAAGAAAGAAAGAAGTAAGGTATGAACCTTGCCCTTGAGATCTGGTACTCAACTTTGTGAGCAGGTATTTTCTGCCAGTTACTTTTGTTAATGTCACATGTGATATGCTGCCAGAGCCAGTGGATTGACACAATGTAGTCTTTTTTCATGTGACCCCTCTGCACTATGTGACAACATCAACCAATTCTTTTCTTGAAACCCTATTCTTTCTCCTTTGGCACAATGACATTAACTCTCTCCTGGCTTTCTGCCTATTTCTCCGTCTATTCTCTTTCAATCACAGAAAATAACAAATGTTGGTGAGGATGTGGTAGGAATATAAAATGGTTCAGCCACTTTGAAAAACAGTTTGGCAGTTTCTTAAAAAGTTAAACATAAATATACCATATAGCCCAGCAATTCTGTTCCTACTATCTACCCAAGAGAAATGACAATATATGTCCACACAAAGAATAGCAAGCAAGTTTTCATAGCAGCATCATTCATAAGAGCCAAAAGGTGGAAACAACCCAAATGTCCATCAACTGGTGAAAAGATAAACAAAATGTGGAATATTCTACAACGGAATCCTATTTAGGAATTTCAAAAGTTAAGTGAATACAATACTAATATGTTAAAATATGAATGAATCTCAAAGACATTATACTAAATGAAAGAAGCCATATACACAAAAGACCACATATTGTATGATTCTGTTTACATATTTAGAAAAGGGAAATCTAAAGAGTCAGAAAGTAAGTTGTCTGGCGCTTGGAGCAGAAACAGAGGTTAACTATAAACAAAGCATGAGAGATCTTACTTAGGTGATGGAAATGCTATAAAACTAGATTGTGGTAAGGACTGCACAACTTGGTAAATTCATAAAAACCACTCAATTGTACACTTAAAATGGGTGAATTATATGATATATATATCATACCTCAGAAAAGCTATTTTTTAGAGTATATCAAAATGGTTAATTACCATATGAAAAAGTTCTCAACCTCATCAGTCATCAGGGAAATGCCGTCTACTTTTGGGAAGAGGGAAGGCGTGGTGCTGATTGAGGACGTGAGATAACATATACACCATTCAGGATGGCTAAAATTAAAGAACTGACAATTCTAAGTATTGATGAGGATACAGAGCAACTGGATCTTTCACACATTGTTAGTAATGGTATAAATTGATACAACCACTTTGGGAAACAGTTTGGAATTGTACTAAACTAAACACGTGCATGCCCTGTGACCAGGAATTGCTCTCCTAGGTACATAACTGACAGAAGTGACAGAAATATATATGTGCACCAAAAAAACATGTTCATACTGCTTTTTTGTAACAGTAAAACTAGAAACAACCCAAATTTCACTAACAGTAAAATGAATAATACGTTTTGGTATATTGACATAATGGGATACAATGCAGCACGGTTTTTCAGCCTTGGCACTATTAACATTTGGGGCTGGATAAGTCTTTCCTAGGAGCTAGGCAGGAGGTGTCTTCTGTGCATTATAGGATGTTTCGCAGCATCCATGGCCTCTATACACCAGATGCTAGTTGTAACCACCCCCAAAGTGTGATGACAGAAACATTTCAAGACATTGCCCCTGGGAGAGCAAAATGACTCCTGGTTGAGAACTACTGCTAAGCAGTGACGAAAACAAACATCTACTGCCAAGTACAACAACATGGAATAATCTCACAAACATAACGCTGAGCAAAAGAAACCACACACAGAAGAGTGCATACTGAAAGATCCTTATTCAAAAACAGGCAAAACGAAACAGTGTGAGAAGTCTGGAGGGAGAATACCTCTGAGAAGAAGGGAAAGGGTACTGACTGGGGGCATGAGGAGGGCTTCTGGGATGCTACTCACATTCTATTTCTTGACATGGGTGGTGGTTACAAGGGTGGGTCACTTGGTGATAACCTGTCAAGCTTATGATTTATACATTTTTCTCTACACATGTTATACTTAAACTGTTCTTAAACATGTTTATTATGACAATAAAAATAATATTGCCAAAATCTGTGGACACAGTTAAAGCAATACATAAAGGTGAAAGTCTGGCATAAATATATATTTACCAGCAAACAAAGGGTAAATATAAATGAGCTAAGCATGCCAACTTGAGAGGTTGAGGAAAGAGCTACAGAGCAAACTCAAGGACCAATAAGGAAAAAAACAATAACAATAAGAGCAGATATTAATGATTCCACTGCAGCATTATTTGTAGTGGTAATAGTGTTGGGGGCAACCTGGGTATCCGGTACTAGAAGAGGGAACTGGCAAAATGTGGTGGATGGACACACGGATTAAATGTATATATAGCAACAGGAATGGGTCTTAAAAACATAGTACCTAATGACAAAAGCAAAGAACAGAATGCAACAAGAACTCTAAATCACTGCATAAATTAAAAATGCATAAACCCAAGCAATACTAGATATTTTGCAAGAACACGTTCAAATAAAAAGGTAAAAATTAAGCACAATAGAATGTTTTTTATTTTCCATGTTTCTATGTTCCTAAAAAGAACAGAAGTGAGTTATAGGCTAAAAGCCAAGGAAATAATGAAAAAAACAGATGGATGGATGGACAGATGGATGGATAAATCAGTAAAATAAGTTCTCTTAGGTTCTGAGATTCTATGCTCCAGTTCCATCTTCTTTAATCACTTTCCTAACCTTGCACTTATGTTGGCTGATATATTTTTTTGTAAGCATTCTGCTGGTTCATGGGTATCTTTGAGGCTTTACACTCTGACTAGATGTTAAACCTCTATTTTAAAAACACTGTTTAAAGGTGTTATTTCAAAGATTCTGCTAGAGTATATATTTGGATACGTCATTGTAACTTCATTGCTCAAGCAAGTTGTAAAAGTTCTAGACAATTCTTGGAAATTATTACATTTAGATATCATCTACCACCCGGCTAGCAATTTCTTGTTGAAAATAACTAGTGAGTGGGTCATGTTTCTCTCTTAAGAGTAGAACAGAAAATTGTCTCCTTCTGATGAGAAACAACAGTAATGGTAGATTGAAGGTATTCTTGAGGATGCCCTTCAACGGTTCTTTCATCTTCAGTCACATGATATGGAGGAAAGAGAGGTTCTGAGGGATCTGAGACCAAAAGTGAATTATTTTAGTGAAACAAAAAGAAGACAGTCACAAATGTTGGATCTTATCCAAAACCTGAAAGAAGCTACAAGGACACTTTACCTACAAAGGATATAATGGTAAAGATTAACCCAAGGAAGGACTTTTGGTAACAAACTGGCCAAAAGACCCATAGCTAAGTGCTAATGAGTCAGAATCATAATCTTTTAAAGGTTGCAGGATATTAAAAATTATTTAAATAAATATACCAATCAAAATCTAGGGCTAAGAACAAAGTTATATCAAGCTGTGATTGTAATGATTAAAAATTAGAGGGGCCACCCATCAACAGATGATTGGATAAAGAAGATGTGGTATATATATACAATGGAATACTACTCAGTCATAAAAAAAAGACAAAATCATCCCATTTGCAACAACATGGATGGACCTTGAGGGTATGAAGTTAAGTGAAATAAGCCAGACAGAGAAAGACAAATACTGCATGATTTCACTCATACGTGGAATATAACAAATACGTGAATAAAGAGAACAGATTAGTGGTTACCAGAGGGGAAGGGGGGTGGGGTGGGTGAAAGGGGTAAAAGGACACATATATACAGTGACAGACAATTATCAGACTACTTGGGGTGACCACGATGAAGTCTACTCAGAAATTGATAAACAATAATGTACACCCAGAATTACACAATGTTATAAACCATTATGATCTCAATAAAGTTACTGGAAAAAAAAATTAGAGGGGCCGGCCCCGTGGCCTAGTGGTTAAGTTAGGCGTGCTCTGCTTCGGTGGCCCAAGTTCATTTTCTGGGCGCAGACCTACACCGCTCATTGGCAGCCATGCTGCGGTGGCAACCCACATACAAAATAGAGGAAGACTGGCACACTGTTAGCTCAGGGCAAATCTTACTCAAGCAAAAAGAGGAAGATTGGCAACAGATGTTAGCTCTGGGTGAATCTTCCTCAGCAAAAACAAAAAGAAAAATTAGTGAGAAAGATAAATTTCTCTTAGAAACTGTTGATACAATTATCTACTTTGTGGTTTTATGTTTGCTCTGTTTTAAGAAAGAATTATAAATGTATAAACAAGATGAACAGAAGTCTTAGAAGTGCTTCAGATCCTAGATAAACCATTAGACCAAGTGAATCTAAGTATCTCATATTACCTGAGCTCAGCATAACTAAATTTCACCTTAATTTCCTTTGAATGGTGAATCTTTGACTCTTTAATTGTATAAAGACAGTAGTAACAGAATTATCCACAGAGAAAATATTTCGTCTACTAAACCCACTCACCAAGAAAGACATTCAGCTCTAAAGACAAGAGTGAGTGCAGTTAATGATGTTAACGAACCCCTCCCCTGCCTGTCTCACCTGAAGCAACTCCAGGGTGGAGCTCTGGCTCTTCTCCCCCACCTCTATGATGAGCTTCTTCAAGGAAGAGATCATTCGATTGAGCCTTAATGTGTTCTCATTCCGTTTCTTCTTTGTCTCTTCTTCTTCTTTGCTCAGTCTCTGAAGAAACCGTTGCTCTTCTTCAGCCAGAAAGCGGTGCAGCTTTGCAAACTCTGTGCTGAATCTCACTCGCTGATTCTTCATCTTCTCCTACAGCCACATGAGATTTGCTCAGTCTCGTGTTCTGCATGGCCCTTGTCCCTAAATTCCTTGCACATCACTCCCCAACAATCCATGGTCCTTCCATCCTAATCATCTCCAGAAAAGCTCCTGCCCACGCCCCACAAATTTCCCCTACTCCTCTATTTACACTTACTTGATATCTTTGTACTAGTCTTTACAGTATTAATTCATTCTTTGTCACATTTGAGTCTCTACTAAAGCCATTCACTGCATAACAACATTTCAGTCAACAAAGGACCACAAATATAACAGTGGTCCCATAAAATTAGTGCTATATAGCCTTAGCGTGTGGCAAGCTATACTATCTAAGTTTGTGTAAATACCCTCTATGATGTTCACACAACGATGAAATCGCCTAACAACACATTTCTCAGAACATATCCCAATCATTAAGCAACACATGACCGTAGTGACAGCAATGCCTTGTTTGTATACTTTTTAAACTAAAATGCACTTTCAGATTATTTAGTTTAGCTCTCAGAACCCCTACTGTTTAGTTTTGTGAAATCTTTAGACGTGCACGTGTGCACACGCATTGTGCCTCCCAACAAGACTACCATCTCTGAAAGCAAAGTCCACTTACTTTCCACAATGCCATGGACCCAAACCAACTCCAAACTACAGTGTATATTTAGGAAAAAGTGGGAAGGAGGGGGGCACTACCTCAAAGTAGAGATATGAAGATGAAGTGTGTGGAACTCACATTGCCCAGAGCCACAGGTCAGTAGGGACAGATGCTTCCTGTTCTATCACGTTATCTGCAAGGGGCCTGACCACTGATAACATCCTGCATCCTCTTCCCAGCAAAATCCCTTGAGCAGCCTCAGACTGAAAGGGCCTCAGGAGCAAGAAATGGCCAACCACTTCTGCTGTTACCTTCCACTCTGTAGCATTCTTCACCTCCATGTCCTGCAAATGCATGGCTTTCTTCATCTTGGCCATCAGACTACATTGAGTCTTAAGAAGTTTTTCCTGCCAGCAGAAACATATATCAGAGAGAAATCACCTCTCCAAGTAGCCTACTTGTTCAAGAGCTAAAACTCACCTAATCCAAATAGGGAATGAGATTGAGAAAATGCTGAAGGTCACAGGCCTATATGTAAGAAATATTCTGTTCTGTTATCATCAAAACACTAGAGTTTGTCTACTAAGCTGGCAAAAACTAAAAACTGTTAGAAGATTAATAAATACCTAGCAATGGCAAGGTAGAAGGCCTCTGGCACCATAACAGTAGAAGCGTAGAAAGGTGCCATCTCTTTAAGGGCAACTGGCAGAATTTAACATTTAAAATGTGCATATTCCTACTTCTAATAATCTATGCAATAAAACACTAGCAAAAAATAACCAATATGTATGGGAATGTTCACTGCAGCATTATTCATTACCCATCAATGGGGAATTATTAAATAAATTGTGGTGTACTCATACTCCATCAACTTCCAGTAGCTCTCTACATATGGACATATTATATTAAGTTAAAACTAAGCTGTAAAACAATAGTATTGTATAATTCTGTTTTAAAAAGAATAATTATACATGTGTCTAGGCATGTGTGTGTGTGTGTTTGTATTTGAACAGAAGTAACATCTAGAAGGATATATACCTAAGTATTATTAACACTGGTTATTTTTGGGGAATAAAAATGGGTGGGAGGTAGGGAGGGAAGACTAGAAATTTTATAAATCTCTGTTTTGTTTGAATTTCTACAGGAGGCATACACCATTTCTGTAATTTAAAAACCTGAATAAGCTTTTAAAAAATAAAACGAGTCAATGAGCATTAACAAAGTAGGCTCTGTACAGGGGCAGCACATGATAGCAGAATGTCAGACACAACCTTAGAGAAGCAGGCAGGTTAGAGACACACACAAGGGAAAACCAATAGGAACTGATGACCAAGTGGTTACAGGAGCAAGGAGTCCAGATTTAGCCCCTAGGTTCTGACATGAGCAGCTAGATGGATCGTAGGTTATTTACCAAATTAGGAACTATAGGAAAATGAGCAGTATGTAAACAGAAGGAAAGAAAATAAATTCGACTTGAATCAAGCGAGTTTGAGATGTCTGTGGGAGAGACAAGTGGATACAGTTAGCAGTTAAAAGTCAAAAAAGAGATCTGAGCTGCAGAAGCAGATTTAGGGATTAAAGCACAGATAGCAGTGGAAGCCACAGGTGTGAGTAAAATCACTTGGCAAGACTCTATAGAGGAAGAGGAGGATCAAGGCTAGAACTGGGAACAACCATATTTAAGGGGTATGCAGAGGACAAAAATCCTGCAAAGCAGCTAGATGAGTGGTTGGTGAAAACCCAAAAGAGAATGGTTTCTTATACACCAAAGGAAGAGAAAATTCAAATTAAAAAATGGTGAATACTGTCAAATGCTAAAGTTGCCTAGGGCAACTTTCCATTAAGTCTGAATGTGTCAAAACAAAAAGCTAAAAGAAAAAAAAATGAATAGAACTAAGAAATAAGCAACACATTTTTTTTTAATTCTTCCCTAGGAGAATTAAAGAAAACTAAGCGTTATCACTTTACTTCCAATCATTTACAAATGACAATGGTTAAAATAAAGTTAGATAATTTAAAACACTGACAACTCCAAAGTTGGCAAGGATGTGGAGCAACCGGAATTCTCATACAATGTTGGTGGGTGTGTGAAATGGTACAACCACTTTGGAAAAAAGTCTGGCATAAAACTAAACATACATTAATCCTAGGGCCCAGCAATTCTACTCCTAGACCCAGGAAAAATGAAAATGTGTGTCCACAAGAAGACCTGTATGAGAATATTCAAAGCAGCTTGTTCATATAATGGAATACTACTCAGCAGTAAAAAGGAACAGACTGCTGATACAAAATGGATGAATCTCAAAATCAATGTGCTGAGCAAAAGGAGCCTATAAGAAAGAGTACAGACTATATGATTCCATTTACATGAGGTTCTGGAACAGGCAAAACTAATCTGCGGTGGAAAAAATCAGAACAGTGGTTGCATCAGGTAGAGGGAGGGAGCAGAGATTAACTGGGACAGGGTATGAAGGAGCTTTCTGGGGTGATAGTAATGTTCTTTATCTTGAGAAGGGCTTGAGGTGCACAAGTGTATGCATTTGTCAACAGCCAGCAAATGTACACTTAAGATGTATTTAATTGTACTAAATTTTACCTCAAAAAATACCATAAAAAAAGTTAAATCTGGTTAATGATATGCATGCTAAAATATAGAAAGACGTGTACTATCTGCAATTAACTTTAAAATGCTTCAAAATAAAATAAGAATTGATGGATGCAGAGAAGATATAGATAGATGCATAGACAGGTGATAACAGAGTAAAATGTTAATGGCAGAATCTAGATGTGGGTATACTGGTGTTATTATAAAATTCCTTCAACCTTGATGAATGCTTGAAAATTGCATAGTAAAATGTTGGGGGAAAATAAAATTAGGTTACAAACGGATTTATATAGTTCTGTTATATACCATAAAATCACCTGTGCCATCTTCTTTCTAACACAATGTTTCCTAACATTATATTTATTACCCCTAGTTGTTAACTTAAATAGGCATAGAATCCTGCTACTCAGTAAGCCAGCTCAAGTAATTTTATTCCTTTATTCAATTATATATCTGCCACTTTGTGATCATTGTCAAATTTGATATATGTGTGAGACTTGTAATGATATAAATAGCACTTTGAATGTGACCAAGATTTTTTTTTTATGTTTTCACTGTTGTTTGATAATGGAAAAAAACTAAATAATACTTTAAATAGAATGTTTCAAATTTTTAAAAGCCCTTAACAATTCCAATATGCATGAATTATCCTGTATGGTTGGTTCTATTATCCAAGACTCTACCTAAGTCTTTCTGAATCCTGCCACAGCTGGGATCTAAACAGGGCCCAGGAGTAAACTTGGGAACCCTTGGGGAAGATTAGAAAACTCCTTCCCTGCAATGACAGGAACTGCCACACGGTGGCAGGAGGGCAACACCAAGCACATCAAAGACAGAGGTACCAGAAGTTGAAAAAATCACTTTCTCTGCATTTAACATCAGAAAATTGCATATATGTAAAACCCTAAGTATGATAAAAGAGCATACATTTATAGAATGAAGACATTTGCTGACTTGTGATCATGTGGTTCAAACAACATTAAACTTCAAATTAGATCTGAGTTTCAGTCCAGACCTTCACAAACTAGCTGTGTGTATCTGAGCAAGCCAGCCTCATACATTTCCTGGGTCGCAGCTTCCTTACCTATAGGATGAAGACAACTGGACTAGCTGGTCCCTTAAATACCTTCCCAGCCCTTAGGTTCTGTGAATTTCAGTCACTGTAACCTCTGCATTCAGTCCAAGCAGGAAGGTCTACCTCCAAAATACACACCAAATCAGCCTACCTGCCATCCCTAACGCCACCCCTAGTTCAAGCCACCATCATGTCTTGTCTGGACAACTACAACAACCTCCTGACCGGTCTTCCTACTTCCAATCTTGTCCTTCTCTTATCCAATATCCACAGAGCAGCCAGAATAATCTTTTTAAAAACAAATCAGATCCTGTCACTCCCCATTCTTCACTGGAATCCCTCACCACCAAGAAAATTCAAACACCTTATTATGGCCTGCCATAACCCCACCCTTGCCTACATCTCCCAACTCATCTCGTGCTACTTTTCCCCTTGCTCCTGATGCTCCAGGTGCGGAGACCCTCCTTCAGTTCCATAAATACGTCCAGCTTTTCCCAGCCTCACGGTCTCTGAATTTGCTACCCACTGCCTGGAACGTTCTTCCCACAGTTCCTTAGATGGCTAACTACCTCCTTCTCGTCCATCAAGTCTCAACTGAAATGTCATCTTCTCAGAAAAGACTACTCTGTTCACCTTATTAAAGCCCGTTACTTCTCTGCCACGGCACATCATTTCTTTCACAGCACACAACACAATCTGTGATTATTTCGATTATTTGTGTGTCTATTGTTTACCTTCCAACCCCAGCCCAACTAGACTGTGAGCTCCATGGAAACAGTCTTCACCTGCCTCATTCACCACTGTATTCCCAGTGCTGTGTCTGACACAAAACAGGTGTTCAATAAATATTTGTTAAATGAATTAATAGCAATGGAGGGATTAGCTCCTAGAGTCAGTGGACTAAATACTGGCATGAGGAAAAGAAGAATTGCATTTGGAAGCCTTTTCCACGCAAACAATCTGCTCCCTGAAGCTTATGAAGCTATTTCTTTCTCTGTTCTCCCTTTCTCCCCCACCACCAATGACTCTCTTAAAAATAACTTCTGTTCTACACAATTTTTTGAGATTTCCCTGCATGAAAGTACTAAGCTGTAGGTCCATGGTTCTCTATCTTGTACATTAGAATCACCTAGAGAACTTTTAAACAATGCTGATGCCAAGGGCCCCACCAACTGAATCAAAATCCTGGAGGGAGAGAGGCCTGGCTTGGCTAGTTCTTAAAAGTGTTCTCAGGTGATCCTAATGTGTATCCTGAGCCACTGGTGTGGCCCAAGAGAGCAAGCAGAGTGGGCTAGGAATTCATCAAAGCAGGTTTCCTGGATGCAGTGCTCTGGGACTCAGAGCCTGAGAGGAAGCATCTGGCACACTGTGTGCAGGACCAAGTGTGGGCATAGAATGGGGGATATTTTCCATGAACTTAGGGAACTCCCAACTTTTAAGACACAGTGCACCCAACTGAGTTTGTGCTGGGAACGGGATGGTGGAAACAGGGTAGATCCACCCATGAGCAACTTAATGTTTTCTAACTTGGGGTGGGGGTGGAGTTGGAGATGGATGAATGGAGCTATAACTAAGCAGAGGAGGGTGCACAGGAGGACAGATACTGGAGAATTCTGCCTAATGACCTAACTCCTGAACAGCCGCCCAGTCAACCTTGTGACATTCAACCCACCCCAGCATTACCCTTACCCACTCACTCCCCGTCTGTTGGACCATTTTGTTTAATCCTGAAATCCCACCTCTTCCAAGAAGTCTTCTCAGCTAGATTAGTTGTAGCATAACGAAAAGTGCAGTGGACTAGGGGTTAGAGGACCTCAGTTCAAGCTTAGCCACTTCCTAGCTCTGTGCCCTTGGACAAGTGACCTCACATCTCCATGCCCCATCCACGAAATGGGAATAAGAGAATCCATCTAATAGGGTTGCTACGAGGATTAAAGAATTACTATATGAAAAATGCTTAGAACTGTGGGTGGTACATAAGCCATCAATAACTGATAGCTAGTATTAATATTATTATTATTGCTGAAGATTGACGCTTTAAGAGTTATTTCCCCCTTTTCATGCTAGTATTAATATTATTATTATTGCTGAAGATTGACGCTTTAAGAGTTATTTCCCCCTTTTCATGCTAGTATTATTATTATTATTGCTGAAGATTGAAGCTTTAAGAGTTATTTCCCCCTTTTCATGCTAGTATTAATATTATTATTATTGCTGAAAATTGACGCTTTAAGAGTTATTTCCCCCTTTTCATACCCATCCACTTACACTTGCCTCAGCCCTCTCCTACAAATGTATTTTCCTTTCCATTTCTCTGATGGGTCCTTTCAATCTCTTTTGGCTACTAAGCATTGGTGTTTCCCAAGCTTCTCTTCACGCCCCTTTTTTTTACCCTTTATGTGGTCCCCCTGGGTGAGGGGCCAATGGTGCAATGGACAACGTATCTGATTACAGATCAAAAGATTCTATGTGGTCCCCCTGGGAAACTCACTTCTGCTTACTTCTTCCATGACTTCAGGGATAGGCTGATGATTCTAAAATATTGTGTTTCTACCCTCCTATGTCCCCTGCCTCCTGTCCCTCTTCCTTGGACTTTCTGTCACAGTTACTTCACACTCAACATGTCCCAAATGAGCACCTGATATCTGGGCAGCCATCCTAGACTCCTATCTCTCCCTGACCAACCAAGTCCAATTAGTCACCAAGTCATTCAACTCCAGCTCATAATTAATCCATCCTCTCTTCTCCATCACCCCTGCCCTGCACTAATTCAGGCCCCTGATACCTCCTGCTTGAAACGGTGCAACAGCACCCTAATCAGTCTTCTCCATTCATCCACGTGGATGCCAAAGTGATCTTTCTAAAACAAAGAAACTGATAATGTCATTCCTTGCCTTAAAATCCTTTGATGACTCCCCATTGCCTCAAAGAGAAAGTTCAGTCTTTTCAGCTCAGTTAACAAGATCCCTCATGACATGGCTTTTGCCTCTTGCTTCAACCTCAACTCCCTCCACCCTCCCTCCCTTGCTCTACACTCCAGAAGTACAGAGCAACCTCCAGTCCTCTTATATATCACAAGCTATTCCATGCTGCCACACTGCTGAATATCCTGTTCCCTTGGCCTGAATTCCCTTCCCTCTCCCGTACCTTGTTGTACTCACCCTTCAAGAATGAACTGATGTTTAACTCCTCTGTGAAGCCTTTCCTCACTCCTCACTCTGACCAGAGACCTTCTGTGTACTTGGTACAAACTTTGATAACTCTCACACATACTGAAATTATTCGTCTACAAGCTTATGTCCCCTACAAGACAAAGCCCATGTCTTTCTCATCCGTTTATGAGCAGATTCTAGAACAACGCCTGCCATACAATAAGCATCAATAAAGATTACTGAATGAAGAAATGAATGTACACTTTCTAGACTAGCTTTGCACCTGTTTCCTGTTCACAGTCCGCTGATAAAACTGTATAGCATTTTACAATTTACAATACACTTTAACTTGTATCATTAAATTCTTGTATTCAACAAGTACTTACTAGATACCAATTCTGCTGGAGACCACTGGAGGTACACCGTCAGTAATGGAAGGGGGTGGGGCTACTCTGGAAAGGATGATCAAGGAAGGTCTTCAAGCTAAAAGCTAAAAGGATCTAAAGGATGGAAGGTGAGGGTAGAGAAAGAGAACAGGCTTGAAACAAAAGCAAGAAAGCTAGTGCGGCTGGAGCAGACTAAGATACACTGATTTATTCAACTGAAGCTTCTTAACCCATGAGATAGGCAGGACAGATGAGCTCCAAATTCAAACAGTGATTTTCCCAACTGATAAATGAAGCTAGTAAAAAAACCCAGCCTCATCACTCCAAGCCAGGCTTTTCCCAAATCATCAGCTGTGTACGACATCTATAGATACAGACCCGCACTGCCCAATATAGCATCAATTAGCCACGTGAGCACCTGAAATGTGGAGCGTCCGGAGTGATATGTGCTGTAAACAGATTTCAAAGACCTAATACGAAAAAAAGGAAAATATCTCACTGATAATTTTTCATATGGATTAATGCTGAATGACAATATTTTGGATAATTGGGTTAAATAAAATACATTATTAAAATTAACATCACCTGTTTCTTTTTACCACTGGAAAATTTTTCAATTACATATGTGGCATATTGTTTCTATTGGACAGCACTGGTATACACCCCGTCAGTACGTCTGTCTTAAACTAGGAGCTCCTAGGGGCCAGTCCCTTGAAATTCTGCACAGTGCTGACTGAGCACTGCCCCTCCCATTCCCAGTTTTAACTCCAACTCTGAGATCCGTGTGTCACTTAACTTCTTTGAGAAGGGGGGTGGGGGTGTGTTCAAGCTCCCAGTGGGAATAGCAGCCACCTCGTGGGTCTTGCACGAGAACTGAGTATTCCGGGGCAACACCGGCAGCCCCCTAACTCTCGAAGATACCCGGCTCACCCGGTAGCTCTCGAAGGCCTCGTCGATGGGCGCCATGGCGTGGGCCTGGTGCTCCTGCGACTCCCTGCACACCAAGCACACGGGCCGCTGGTCGTCCTCGCAGAAGAGCCGCAGCGGCTCCCAGTGGCGGCCGCACAGGCCGGGGGGCACGGGGCCCTGGCGCCGGCGCCGCGTCTTCTCGGAGAGCCGGGCCAGGGCCCAGTTGGGCCGCAGCGCGGCGGGCGCCGACGGCTGCCGGCACTCGGGGCAGGGGAAGGGGCCGCCGCCCGGGGCCCAGCTGCGGTGCAGGCAGCCGCGGCAGAAGTTGTGGCCGCACTCGATGGACACCGGGTCCTCGAAATAGTCCAGGCAGATGGAGCACGTCAGCTCCTCCTGGAGGTCCTCGGCTTCCATGCCGCTTCTCTGCCCCAGAGCCGGAGTCGGGGTCGGACGTGAGGCCGCAGCCGCGGCCGGCGCCTCCCACCGGACGGGAAAGTGGAGCCTCTCTTCCGGGGTTCGGGCCCCTGCCGCGGCGCGCGCCGACCGGGGTGCGCCCCTTCCCCGCGCGGGCGCTGCGGGGCCAGAGCGCTCAGGCCCGGACACCGCAGCCGTTCCTCGCGGGGCGGCCCCGGCCTTGCCGCGGCGCATGACGGGAGGTGGGCTGCGCCTTCGGCCGGCAATAGAGATGCGGAAATCCCCCGGGAAGCCTAGAGGGGACTTGAGGAGCTCTCGGGTTTGCGGAGGGCGCGCTAGGGCTGCGATGGAGCCGCGGCTGGAGCAAAACGGGGAGGCGCCAGCGGACTTAGCCTGTCCGTCAAGTTTGAGGGGTGAGGTCATTGTTCGCCGGCCGCTCGGGGCGATTTAAGTTGTGAAGTCCTAGGCGAGCGGCAGCCTAGCACCCTGGAGGACAGGAGGACTACAGGGGTCTGTGCAGCCGGGCCTGGAGTGGGGCTAAGGAGGCGCAGGGCCCTTTAGGCTTGCTCTCCGTGAAGCCTCCCTTTTTCGTTCAGCCTCATTCTCCTGGGAGTGGAACCCGTTCTCGGCCTCCAACCGCGAGGTCTACTTGAGTTCGCAGAAGGGCAGGATTTCCTACTGCACCCACGAAGCCCACCAACTGGAAGCCCACAACTCTCCTGGTGTTGGAGGAGTCCCGGGAACTGGAGAACCAACTTTCTTGGAGGGGAGCGGGAAAGGGAGTGTTTCCCTCACGAGCTAGGGAGCTATCTGATCGCCCTGCCACCCTGATTTCCCTCTTTTTCTCCCCAAGCATAGGAGACAGACACAGGTAGAAGAATCCCATTCTCAGAGCATGGGACACACTCACCCAGTGCAGATGGGGGTACTAATAAGTTAGGGGAAGAGAATCTAGGATTCGATGGTCTGCCCCATATTGGAGACTTCCCATCAGTGTTTTAGGTGGTTCAATTCCCAGGAGGTCTGTGGGCTATGGGATGCTCTAAGGCAACTCTGGGTGATCTGCTATGAGTGGCTGACATGTAAGATCCTGGGAAGGAGCAGATCCTGTAGCTGTTGGTGCTGAAGCAGTTCCTGATCCTCCTACCTGAGGAGGTCAAGACCGGGGTGCAAGAGCCTTGCCTGGAGAGTGGAACTGAAGCTGTAGCTGTTGTGAGGACATTGGGAAAGAGCTGGTAGGACCAGGAGAGTGGGTGAAAAGGAAATCAAGTTTTTTAAGTGGGAGTGGTTAGGATTTAGAAGCACAGACACATTGCCTTTTGGTACCCAATTTGAACAGCAACCACTTTGCTATCCCAAGAAACATTCATTGAGGCTTTCAACAAACAATATGCTTGTCTGTTGCAGAGAATTATCTATTTCTCTTCAATGGACTTGTGATCCTGTGTTTCTGAGGTGCTTTGTTTTTTATTCCTCCCACTCTGTTCCTTTTCTTATGGATAAAATTTTTTTGTTTTTGTAAGGAAGACTCACTCTGAGCTAACATCTGTTGCCAATCTTCCTCTTTTTTTTTGCTTGAGGAAGATTAGCCCTGAGCTAACATCTGTGCCAGTCTTCCTCTATTTTGTATGTGGGTCCCTGCCACAGCATGGCTGCTGAGCGGTGTATCCAAACCTGCGAACCCGAGCCGCCAAAGCAGAGCACCAAACTTAACCACTATGCCCCTGCGCTGGCCCCTTATGGATGAAAATTTTAATTCTTCTTGTGTTCCAATATCAGATACTGTCTTTCCCTTAATATGCTCAGTAAGTATTATGGAATGTATGATTACATGAGTTGGAAAGGGGTTCCTATGATCTCTATTTTGGGGTTTTTGATAAAAGTCCCACATAATATCTAGTTTTAAAATGTTTAAACTATACAACTAATAAATGCATGTTCTTTGTAAATTAGAATTAGAATGAGAAGGAATCTGAGTCCAATCTTTTTTTTTTAAAGATTTTATTTATTTATTTTTCCCCCAAAGCCCCAGTAGATAGTTGTATGTCATAGTTGCACATCCTTCTAGTTGTTGTTTGTGGGACGCAGCCTCAGCATGGCCGGAGAAGCATCCAAAATATTGTCCAAACCTGGGCCGCCAGCTGCGGAGCGCATGCACTTAACTGCTAAGCCGTGGGGCCGGCCCGAGTCCAATCTTAATATGGACCGAGCGGGAAGAAGTGTTCTTATCAGTTACCAATGTTTGCCATGAGTGTTTGTGGTGCGAGTATGTGTCTGTCTATGTATTGAGTGGCAGACATTAGGTCCTATGTCTCCTTAAGGTTCATGTCTTCTATCCTGCCACACTCCTGAGATGAATGTCCTTTTTCGCTGAAAGTATCGATGCTCCCCAATTCACAATTTTATTCATACAGAATTCATATGGAATTTCAGGGGACCCAAAATAGCCAACTATTTGAAAAAGAACAAAGTAGGAGGACTCACACTTCCCAATTTCAAACCTTATTACAAATCTACGGTAATAAAAACATGTGGTACTGGCATAAGGATAGACATAGATCAATGGAATAGAATTGAGAGTCCAGATATATATATATAATATATATATAATATATATAATAATGCTATACATCTACAATCAATTGATTTTCCACAAGGGTGCCAAAACCATTATATGGAGGAAAAATAGGCTTTTCAACAAATGGTGCTGGGACAACTGGATATCTTCATGCAAAACAATGAAGTTGGACCCTTATCTCACACCATATACAAAAATTAATTCAAAATCAAAGACCTAAATATAAAGCTAAAACTATAAAACTCTTAGAAAGAAACAGGCATATCTTCATGGCCATGGATTAAGCAATGTGAAGGTTTAAACATAACCCCAAAATTATAAGCAACAATAGAAAAATTTGATAAGCTGAATTTCATCAAAATTAGAATTTTTCTGCATAAAAGGACACTATCAATAAAGTGAAAGACAACCCACTGAATGGGAAAGAATATTTGGAAATCATATATCTGATAAGGATCTAGTATCCAGAATATAGAAAGAACTCAACAACAAAGATACAAGCAACCCAATTTAAAAATGGGCAAAGGGTTTGAATAGACATTTCACCGAAGAAGGCATACGAATGGCCAGTAAACATATGAAAAGATGCTCAACATCTTTAGTCATTAGGGAAGTGCAAATCAAAACCGCAATGAGATACCACTTCACCCCACTAGGAAGGCTAGAATTAAAAAATCAAACAAAACAAACAAAAATCAGAAAATACCAAGTGTTGGCGAGGATGTGGATAAATTGCAACCAGTTCATACATTGCTGCTGGGAATGTAAAATAGTTCAGCTACTGTGGAAAACAGTTTGGCAGTTCTTTAAAAAGTTTGAAAGAGTTACCATATGCCCCAGTAATTTCACTCCTAGGTATTCACTTAAAAACTAGTACATGAATGTTCATAGCACCATTATTCATAAAAGCCAAACAGTGGAAACAATCCAAATGGCCATCAACTGAAAAATGAATAAATAAAATGTGGTATAGCCATACAATGAAATAACATTCAACCGTAAAAATGAATGAAGTGGGCCGGCCTGTAGTGGTTAAGTTTGCGCACTGCGCTTCAGCAGCCCGGGGTTCACAGGTTCAGATCCCAGGTGTGGACCTATGCACCACTCATCAAGCCATGCTGTGGCAGGCGTTCCACATATAAAGGAGAGGAAGATGGGCACAGATGTTAGCTCAGAACTAATCTTCCTTAACAAAAAGAGGAGGATTGGCAACGGATGTTAGCTCAGAGCCAGTCTTCCTCACAAAAAAAATTTTAAATTTTTTAAAAATTTAGGAAAAAGGAAAGAAGTACTGATACATGCTACAACATGGATGAACCTCAAAAACATGCTAAGTGAAAGAAGCCAGTCACAAAAGACCACATATTGTGTGATTCCATTTATATGAAAAGCCCAGAATAGGAAAATCTAGAGAGACAGAAAGTACATTAGCGGTTGCTTATGTTTAGGGGGTATGGAGGTTCGGGGGTGATACTTAAGTGTTGTAGGGTTTCTTTTTAAGTCGAAGAAAATGTTCTAAAATTGTGTTCATGGGTGCACAACTCTGTGACTATACTAAAAGCCATTGAGTTGTATACTTTAAATGGGTGAATTATATGGTAGGTGAACTATATCTCAATAAAGCTGTTTAAAAAGGGACTCTATCAAGGAGGAATTCAGAAGGATGACGTTTACTTTCTTCTGTCCTTGGTCACTTGGCTGGGCTCTGGCTACAGTAGATAAGGGACTCTTTATGAAACACTTGTGTAGCAGAAAGAAAAATTGTTATTTTACTAGCTGTTGCCAAAGTGTCCCTTGGGGGACCAAATATCTTTCCTTAGGAATGGGCCTTCCTCATTTACTTGGGGGTACACTGGGATTCAGAAGGAGAAAACAACACTAGGTAACTGCTCTTTGTTGAGAATTTGAGGGCAAGGAAGGGCTGTGGAGAGAGATATTTCTGCAAAAAGGTGGAACTCGGACAGAAATGACTGACAGATTCAAGAAAAGAGAAGCCTGATATTCAGCTTTAAATTATCTGCTGAATCACATTGTGATGTAAACGTCCCTTACTGTTATGCCTGAATCAGCAGTAAATCTCTACTGTCTTTTCTGTGTGGTATTGACAGGTATGCCTTTAAAAGCTAGGAACGGCCCCACATAGGAGGTGCTGCTTTGCTGGAGACAATGGAGCAGCTGCAGTGCACCAAGCAGAGAATGAGAACTGAGCAGAAATCAGAGTTGTCAGTGGTTAAGGAGACATAAGCTTCTGAATTCCCAATGATCTTCCTAAAGGATGTGGCTGGGTATTTGAATAAATCTAATCTATATATTAAAGGACACTGGGTCATATATGCTTGGAAGGCCAGAGCTTCTGGATATGACATGCTGCAGGGCTGGGGGCATTCATAGTTTACAGGACTTTGAAGGAGGGGAGAGCAGAGATTGTGGAACAACAGGAGAGATAAGTAGAGTCACTGAGACGGGGGGAGGATTGTCTTCAGCAACAGGAATGCCAACAACAGTAGTCAATATTTATTGTGCATGTAGGGAGTGGCATGGTTTTAATGGAGGCTTCTGCTGGCTGACTCGGGAACCAAGCCCATGAATATTATTATGCTGACACCAGAGGATTCTGGTGAGAAGGCACAAGCAGGAGTTCTTCAAGGCAATGCTTCAGACAGCATGGCCCATCTGGCCCTTAGAGATGCTTCAATAGCCTCTCATTTGTCATGGAGGTAAAACCCCACTCACAGGATATTTGGAAGAAGATCCAATCATAGGGTTTCCTTCAGAGGTGAGACAGATGTCTTCATAACTCTGCAAAGTAGAGAATCAAGCAGAAGCTGAGATTTTTCTGAGTGGGAAGAGACCTAAATGGGCAGGAGGCAACTGACTGAGCACTCTCGTCCTGGTTCGTTGGAAGGAATCATTGAACTGATAGGGATAGGGGTTGGGAGATGGGTTGGGAGCAGTGGTCAGAATTTATGACATGTGGGAGTTGTATGTCCCAGAGGGCGAGGGACCTGCCATGGGAGATCATCAGGACAGGATATCAGGGGCAGGAAGAAAGAGTGATGTGAGCGCCCTTCTCACCTGCTTCTCGGAACTGCTCTCTTGTTTCCACCACCAGGAAGTTGTTGGTTGGTTCCTTGTGTCTTCTGGTACTCTCTGAAGTTGGGACGTAGTTAGAAGAGGGAGATTTGTGCTTCCGGGTCCTCCACCATCTCCCCAGGCCCAGGAGCACAAGTTCCAAGAGAGTAAGCAAGAGACAGAGTCCAGTGACCCCAAACATGGTCTTTAGGAAGATGGTCTTCTCAGAGGGGCGAGACACATTACAGGTTATACTACCAAGGCAAGGCTCTCGACGACACGCAAAGGAGCCTGGCATCTTGAAGCCATACAGATGGTACTGCCCCCCCAGGCCTGCCCCCTCAAGGACCAGTCGCACTCCCAGCTGTGCCACATAGGCCCAGAGCAGCCTGGGGCTTCCAGACCCTAGGGCATCTCTGCTATCCTCCCCTTGAAGGCCCAGGGTCTCCTCTTCCTTCTTCACCTTTTCCGATTCTTCCCAGTGCCAGATCACATGATACAGAGTGAAACCCATGTAGAGGGCGCTGGGCACAGCCACCAAGATGATTTGGAAGGCCCAGAAGCGCAGTGGGGAGAGGGGGTGGAAGGCATCATAGCAGGCGGCCTTGCAGCCTGGCTGCTGAGTGTGACACACAAATTCACTCTGCTCATCACCATAGACCCCCGTCCCACTGGCAGCCAGCAGCACAAAACGGAATCCCAGGAGCACGGGAAGCAGGAGGCGCCCCACGTGGGTGGAGTGCCGGCTCTCCTCAGCCACCAGCTGCCTCAGGAACCTGCCACACATCCTGTTATGGAGCAGAGGACAGTGATGGGTGTGGGTGTGTTGCTCACTGTCCTTTAGGAGTGTCAGGCCACCTCTTCACTCCTAATCCAAGGATGGGTAAGGCAAGCCTCTTGCTCCTCCCCAAGGATCTGGTTGATCAAATACCAAGACTCGGATTGCACCTACTTAGAGTTAATGGAATCATGTATGTAAAATAATAGTAGTGAGTCAGTGTGGATGTGGCTCTCTCTCTTCTGTCCCCTCTCTGTACTGCTGGAATGGAGAGGAACTCTTGGCATGGTAGGGGACCAGGATCTGTCTTTGTCTCTCCCTTTCCCTCCCTCCCTCCCTCTCAGCCCAAAGGCTGAATAGTCAGAGACCAGAATCCTCTGAAAACTGTTGCTTCCCCAAGTGATGGCTACCAGGTCTGGTGCTACAGTCAGCGTCACCTGAACGAAATCAGTGCTGACACTGGGGAGAATGTGCATTCTCTTGCTATCCACTTTTCTCTGGCTCCATGCCCTCGGGTGCTCACAGGTGTGTCTGGGCAGCCTCTGCTCCCGTCACAGTGGTGAGATTGAGATGCAGTTAGGTTAGTGGGCTGAATGGGGATCAAGTGAACAGAGTGAGTGTCAAGGCTTTCTTTAGTCTGATGTTCTTTAGACCTAACCAGCTTAGGAAAAGGAAAACATTTTGAAAGAAAAAAAACAGAATCTACTAGTTACATGTGATGGAGTTTGGGGCCAAAGCCAGAGCTGGCTGGATAAAAATTCGAAATTGGACTTTGCTTTGTCATTGTTCTTTGGGCTTATATCTCCCTCGTGGTGAGAGGTGACCTTGGTCAGGGACAGGCTTCAGAAATTCCTCAGTTCTCTGGACAAATACCATCATGCTACAAGCCCAATTTGCCATCTTTAGTTTTGTCCTAATCAGCAGTCTCCTCAATGTCCCGCTGCTCTTCCTAACCATCCCACTTCAGCCTGAACTCTTACACACCTAGTTCCCCTCTCTCTCAGAAGACCATGCAAACCTCTCATTCCACAGAGAAAATAGACTCTTTGATGTGAAACCCCAGGGCTACTACTTCTCTCACCTTCATAGTCACTTCCTTCTACAGCATCTTAGAGAAAGAAGTGGTCCTACACTTCTCCAAGGCTACTCTCCCTTCCAGATCCGTGCCCTTGGGTCTCTCCAGCTTCTTCAAGGATTTGATCCCCAAATTATCTTTCCTGTAATTCAAATAACCCAGGGTTTCCCCTCTGACTATGAACTTGCTTAGATTTCTCCTTTTAACTCTAATAATAATAACCCGAATTTCTAAGTTCATATGGCAGCAAATGAGACATAGCTAATTTGTCTCGTATCAGCTTCCCAATTATAATACCCAGAAAGATGCACAAAACAGTTTTAAATGGGTATTAGTGTTATAAACTATAGAAAAGACAAGGCCATATGCCAAAACTGAGGCAGAATGGTCACTTCTATGCAATCAGAAAAGATGGATTGAGATGCCTCTAAGGGTATCAATTGACCAGAGAAATACGTCGCCACTCACCAACTGTGAGAAACCATTTTTTGAGCCACTAGGAATGAGAGTGTGAACCTCTGCCTGCCCCTCAGAAGTATATCAGGCAGCTGAAAATTCTTTGCTATAAAATTGGGTTAAAATTTTTAGAAGAAATCTATTTTCAGTCTCTAGAAAGATGCAAAATTGGTCTCATAATTAATGATGGCAGATTGAAGATAGAGACTTATCCCTTCTCATTCTCAAGGCTCCTGGAAAATGAGAGTAAATGGATCTTTAAACGTATAAACCGTGATGAATGGAGCAGGAGGAAGATCGCCAGTGGCACAACTGAAATCCACTTCAAAGGCAACAGGACAGATTTGGAGGAAAATCAGAGTGGGGTGCTGGAAAGCACCTTGGGTAATTCTTCCAGAATTCAGAGGAAGAAGATGAACAACTGAAGATCATAAAAGGTAAATAGGTAAGGGAACAAAATCTGTTTCCTAATTTGAAAATGCAGACAACAATAAAACAAAATCACTTGCTTAGTGGATGAAAAAGCACTTAGTGAAGAGCCTGAGGAAAAGCAGTTTCTCAATAAATGTTTAACTGAGTTTTGTTGGGAGAGACATTGAGCTCCACAGAGGACCAAAAGGAAGGTCAAGTTCTAATGCTGGTCCTGGGTTTCTCAACCTTGGGGCCTGATAATTTTTGTTTAGGGGTAGGGGGGATGCTGTCTTGTACGTTGTAAGATGTTTAGCAGCATTCCTGGCCTCTGTCCACTAGATGCCAGTAGCACACTCCTCCCCTCCCACCCACAAATGTCTCCAGTTGTTGTTAGTTGTCCCCTGGGGTCAAATTCACCTCTGGTTGAGAACCATTGCCTTAAGGTCGCACTGGTCCGTCAGCTCCCCGCTCTTAGCTTCAGTTACCAGCTCTGTAAAGCAAGATGTCTATACAAGAGCATGTCAACGGGCTTTCATTTGGCGGAGCATGATAAACAGCCCATTTCCAGGCTAGTTGTGCATCTTCCCTCAACCAGCCCCATCTGTGAGGATGCCTGCTGCCCCTCTCCGCCTCATAAGTCTACAGGGTCCTTGCACTTAGCGGAGGCAGCCCCAGGCTCTGAAGGTTTCTGCCCTGGCCCTCCTGGAGAGTTACCAAATGCTATCTTGGTAAATTCTTAGGTCTTGCACTCAGCCTCATCTCATTTCAAAGTGCAGGCCCAGGACCCTCTAAACGCGTTTCCAACACATTCCCAGCAGACCTGCAGTTTAACACAGAGCAGGCCTGGCCTATTCCAAGTGTTGGGAATTTTAGTAATTTACAGAGGCCCCATCTCTATTCTTCTCTCTCTCCCGTGCCCACCCCTGACCCACATCTAGACATCCAAATGTCCTCTGAGAAGCTCTTGGAACTGAACTGGGGTCTCCAGAGCTCACAACAGAGCTTTGGGGGTTTGGAAAGGAGAGAGGGGATAAAACAGGACAAGAAGACTTGCCTGAGAACTCTTTGGTTTGGAGTCCCCACAACTAATTCTGAGCACCTTTCTGTGTCCTTTGCCTCACAGCTATTATCACTGAAACAGTATTTATTCTGCACACATTCCGGGGCCTCATGGAAGGTTCAAACAAAATCATGCTCCATCTCCCACAGTCTGCAGACCAAAGGGAGTTTCCTATATAAGCAGAGCCTAAACACAGCCCTGCCTCCTCCCTCATCCCCTGCTTTCCTGGGACCCATCTGTTCCAGCTGTCCCCAGCCCACCTGTCTCATTCTCTGAGCCCCACAGCCTCCTCCTGCAAACGTATCTGCAGCTTTGTCCTCAGGAGCCAGAGTCCTCGGGCCTAACTTGAGGACCTAAGAAGCTGAGAGCTCAGCATTATTGACAAATCTCAGCTCAAGGGACACCACTGTTTCTAGGAGTGGAGAAATAATTTGCAAATAAATCTCTTCAGGAAGGAGCTGGCAGGATCTGAGACCTGTCACGATTTCAATCAGTGAAGCGACACCTGTGAGCTCAAGAGCTGGGAGAGGGAGGAAAGCCCTAAGTTTGAGGGGATTTTCAAATATGTAAATAGATTTTTTTTAATTCCATCATGATTTTGGTAAGAATTTTTCTAAGCATCTCTATTCTTTTAGAGAAAAATTTCAGGATTCCGTTGGTGGCAGGTAACTATCTGAGGTGTGAGGGAGAGATGTCCACTGAGAACAGTGCTGGACCTGGCTCACTGCTCCCATCTCACCCCACCTGGCCTGGAAAATGCTCTATATTCTTTAATTCAAAGTGTGGTCCGTGGTGCAGCAGCACTGGCATCACCAGGTATGCAGAATCTCAGGCTGCAGCCCAGGCTTAGCAAATCAAATCTGATTTTTAGTAGTATCCCCAGGTCGTTGGTGTGTGCATGAAGCACAGTCTAGAGCCCCCCCACCACTACCGCAGGCCCTGAGCCAGCCCTGCTGCTCTCTGCCCCAGCACTCACCTGGCAGCTTTGAGCAGAAGCACAAACGGGAAAGAAGCAGAAAGGAGCGTCCTCAGGCTGGAGCCTCGGGGTCCCAGCTCTCCGCCAGGCCCTGCCCCTGCCACCACCCCCTTCTTCCCCTCCCCTTTCATTCCTGGCAGCTTTAGTGAAGGGTAAGAGAATTGCAGCTGGAGGAGCGGGCAGCCCTGCCGTTAAAGAATGGGCTCTGGAGAATAACCCGCTGTTGTTGAGGGTGAACTGAAACAGGGATTTTCAGATTATCTGCAAGGGGAGCAATGGCTTCAGTGTGTTTCCAACTTTTGAGCTCTCAGGCAACAATAGATAGAATTTCCATATGTTTAAATCTCTATTGTGTCCCCCCACTCTCCTGGCCAAGGTACCCAAAGCACAAGAAGTATGGGTGTATGTGTGGGTGTGTGTGCACGCGTGTGTTTGCTTCATTTCCTCAGGCAGCAGCTGTCCCAGAACTCATCCTGCTCTCAGGATGTCCTCTTCTCTTGGCTGGGAGAAATAGCACAGGCTTCCCCTCACAGCATGATGCATGTCCCCTCAGCAGCTCGGGGAGCCCAGCCCAGTGAGAACTGCAATGCCTGCCCCCATACCCCTTCCTGCCCCCATTGCTAGAGCCAGGATCCCCTCCAAAGATATGCTGGAGAATGGGAAGGGGCGAGGCTGGGCCAGCAGGTGGATGGGTGGGAAAGTAACTCAGGAGTGCAGAGTGAGGGGTCTCATTACTTTGCTGCCAGCTCCCAGAGCCAACATTGAGCTCTTCAAGGAGGAGAGCTGGGGGAAACCTCAGTTCCAGTTACTGCCCCTGTGGATATGAGGGGCATCGTTCCACTATTTTCTAGTATTTAATGATGGTATGGAGAGGTATAAGTCCAGCTCGACAGTCTTCACCTTTTAAGTGATTTGATCTTTTTGACAGTTTGCCAAATGGATTCTTTTTTAGCTCTGAAGCCTGTTCACTCCTCCAGGGGATTCTGTTAAGCAAGACATATGATAACTTCACACTGGCTCTCTCCTGGGCA